CCGCTTCAGGGTCCACTTAATGTGGACATGCTAGTTTGAATTAGCAAAACGCTAATTCGAACTAGTTTTTAGTTCTGGATGCGTTAGTTCGAATTAGCTTAGTTCGAATTAACTAATTCGAACTAAGATAGTTCGAATTAGCGCTGTAGTGTAGACATACCCTAAGATACAACCAGATTTGCTCCTATCCCACAGATAGAGACAAACACCTACAAGATCTATATAGAGAGAGGTAGCCGTGCTAGTCTGATCTTGCTAAAACAAAAGAAGAAACTATGTAGCACTTTAAAGACTAACAAGATGGTTTAATAGGTGATGAGCTTTCGTGAGGAAGTGGGTCTGGCCCACGAAAGCTCATTACCTATTAAACCATCTTGTTAGACTTTAAAATGCTACATAGTTTTTCCTTCTGTTTTAGCAAGTTCTATATATAGCATTCTTAAAACTGAAATACCCACCCGCTGAAGTGAAAAAACAGATTGACAGAGCCAAAAAAGTACCCAGACATGAATTATTTCAAGACAGGCCCAGAAGAGAAAACAACAAAATTCCACTTGTTATCACCTACAGTCCTCAACTTCCCCCCCTCCAACACATTATCAACAATCTACAATCTATCCTAGAAAATGAACCCTCCCTCTCAGAGGCCTAGGGAGAAAGGCCAATTCTCGCTTACAGATAACCCCCTAGTCTCAAACAGATTCTTTCCAGTAACATCGCAACACACGTTCATCATAATCATCCAGGAATCCACCCCTTCAATCAGCCCCAGTGCCAACTCCTGCCTGCACATCTATACCGGCAATTTCATCACTGGACCCACTGACATCAGCCACCAAATCACAGGCTCATTTAACTGCATATCCACTAATGTTATTTATGCCATCAAATGCCCCTCTGCCATGTATATTGGCCAAACTGGATAGTCTCTACGGGAAAGAATTAATGGACACAAATCAGATATCCGAAAAGGCAACACACAAAAACCTGTTGGAGAATACTTTAATCTTCCTGGACACTCATTAATGGATCTTCAAGTCACCATTTGTTTCAGACCAATTCCACAAGCCAAATACACACAGAAGAATTAGAATTTAACTTCATTCACAAGTTTAATTCTCATGCAAATGGTATGAATGGTGATATCAGATGGCTTGCACAATATCAACCAACCACACTATGAAGGTGCCAATGGTTCTTGGTGTCTATGTAGAATCTGGTGTTTGTCATCTTCCTTTCCAAGTGCAAATTTATGGTTCTTATCAGCCTCTTGTAACAATTTAGTCTTTAAGATGCTACTAGACTATTTGTTGTTATTTAAGTCTTTCCTGTTAAAGATTAACTCCGCTATCCCTCTAAAGCTTATCTTCTCACTGTCTCTTTTTTCTTCCTCCTCTCCATTTTTTTCCCTTCTTCCCCCACCCCTTTCCCTTATTTATTCTTGGATCTGGATTTCCAACAATCCAGTCATCTGAAGAAGTGGGTTGTGCCCACGAAAGCTCATGATACCATCTACATGTTTTGTTAGTGTTTAAGGTGCTACTAGACTATTTGTGGTTTTTTAAGTTGTTATATTTTAAAGTACACTAAGTGACCCAAAATCTGCAGCTGTTACTAGCACATGCACGAAGAGAGCAACTCCTAAACTAAACCTAGCACATACTACTGAGAAATAAATGCAGCCAACCAATAAAATGAATGTTTTACAGATTCATTTATGACCAATAAGAAAATAAAATGTAACTCCCAATGGTTCATAAGGAACAAAGGAAATGCAGTAGTAAACTTAGCACTAATTAATGCTTTTTTTTGCAAATAAGCAATCAGAGAAAAAACATCAGATTTCACAAAGTTCAGTTCTACCTGCATTATTTTTAGGTGGTAAAGCCATTATCAAGAAACAATTATAGAATATAGCTATCATAGGAATAGTCATCAATAAGACATTTGACTCTACATTATTTCTGAACCATTTCCTGATCAATTGAACCAGGAGATCAGTAATGAAGAAAGATAAAACTGAAATATTCAGCCATTCTCTTTATTGTGCTATTGGTAAAAGTCATGGTTTAGCTCTTGTGCTGTGAGAGCAGGCTGATTTCAGACTCTAGAACATGTAAGATTTCTGTCTGGAGCTCACTCACCACTGTGCAATGAACAGCATGGCATCAGTATCTTTTGCTTTGTATTTCAGGGTTTAGATTTTGGAAGAAGAGATTTGTTTTGCCTCTAACAAAAATACCTTTGTTTGCTTTTAGTAGTAACTGCATAGGCGGGCTGCAAAACAGAGCTACCTCTTACAGATTTCTGACTAGACCTTTGGAACATGAACAGAGACTGTGTCCAGAGAATTCATTCTGTGCTTTACACTGAATCCAATGCATGTTGTCACAAGCCTTGGTAGATTAACCAGTGCAATGCATATACTCATCCAATACAGATTTGATCAAGAAAATTCAGTTAGATACTTCATTATAGAGTCTCAGGGCCTGATTCCTCTGCAATTGTG